CTAGAAAACAACATCGAGGCATCCTTTTAGGGTTTCAGAGTAGGGAAGCATTTCTTAAATGGGATACAGAGCGTTCGAGCCATGAAGAAAACAATGGGAAATTGATAGCGTAAAAACTGAGGTTGTGTGCCAGAGTCTCCGTGATAAAGCTCATGGCTGAGCATCTTCAGGACACATGTTGCTCTGGGTAATTTTAACAGTTAATTTGTCACAATATAGAATCACCTCAGAGGGGGTCACAGTGAGGATCTGTCTAGATCAGGTTGGCCTGGGGCTATGTCTATGGGGTTTGTCTTGATTGTTAATTGACCTGGATAGACATATCCAGCATGTGGGAGACACCAATTCTTGGGTGGACCCTGTATATGAGTGAAGAATACTCACGGACTACTTAGTCCTGGGTACTAAGCACAGGCAAGCTGGGAAAGGCGGGTGCATTTTGTTCTCTCTGCTCTTGACTGTGGATGTGATTATGTTTGTGATGCTGCCTGGGCACCTGACTTGACTCCTCCACAGTGATGGACCATGACCTGGAGTTGTAAGCTAAATAAACTCTTTCTCACACACACACCCGGGGGGGGGGGGGGTAAAAATCTGAGGATGTGACTTCATCCGAAGACATAAAGAAGACCGGAACTACAGGTGTTGACGGTGGCAAATGAAAGGGATTCATTTCTGAGCTAAAACACCGCTTAAAGCTTCAGTGGGTGAAAGATTTTAGCCTTTTTGCCAGGCAAGAAACACAAATGGCCATAAACATAGGAAAATATTCTCGAATTCACTAATCATCAGGAAAATGAAATTTAAAGTCGTGCTCTGGTACCATTTCACGTATGTCGTGTTGAAAACTCAGGTCTCCCCAAGTATTTATTGGTGGGAATGAGGAACCATGGAATCTGCTGGTGGGAACATCGATGGAGAAAAAGAAGGGAAAACTAGAAGGCAGATAGCGAGGCTCATAACAGCAGTGTCGTAGGAGCAGCACTTGCCAACGCTGGTTCCCAGCCATGCGACAGCCTCTGCAGCTGCATCCACCCACGTGACTTTTACACAGCCCCCAGAGACTGAGCAAGCACAGGATACACGCAAAAGGGTCCAGCCGTGACAACCTCAGACACAGGCTGTACTAAGTGACCCGTTATGTGTGGATATATCATAAATGGTAGCCTACAAAGTAAAGGGTTAATAAAAATCCAATCAGTGACCTGCATACACGCAAAAGGGTCCAGCCGTGACAACCTCAGACACAGGCTGTACTAAGTGACCCGTTATGTGTGGATATATCATAAATGGTAGCCTACAAAGTAAAGGGTTAATAAAAATCCAATCAGTGACCTGCGGAAAGGGGGCGCTATTGGGGGCTACAGACAGGTTTCTCAGGTGCAGAGAATGTCCTAGTTCAGAAACTTGGGTCAGGCATGTAGGTACAAATTTGAATTATTCCTTAAACTGTACAGATGTATTTCTCTCCATGTTACATATTTCACAATTAAAATGTTTTAAATATTGAATTAGATTGCCCTCCAGGTCCTTCTAACTATAATCTTGAAATTTCATAAAATCTAGTCTTGACCGTCTTGATTTCTCTGGCAGAGTCCTAGACCCAGCATCTCCCTAGTAACAAGCTAGCCCCTCACCTCACAAAGGAGCTACAGAAGAGGGAGGGAACTTTAAAACTATGCAACACCTGAGATGTCCATTTCTCTTGGGCATCCGCTGTGGCTGTGTGTGAGAGCGACTTCCAGGCAGTGTGTCCAGAGATAACATTCATGTGCATTTTCCACAAGCATTTTTAACCGGGTAATCTGCCTTTCTTACTGCCCAGCCATATGATCTGCTTTGGTTTTGTGTTTATCTTTGAGTGGAGGAGAAAAAAACAGAGTGTGTGTGTGTCTCCCCAAGTAGAGGTCAGAGGTCACTTTCTACCTTGTTCATACATACTCCAGGCTAGCTGTCTCTACCTCCCATTTCAAGTAAGAGTGCTAGGGTTACAAATGTGCTCCACTGGGCTGGCTTTACATGGGTTCTGAGTATCCAAACTCAGGTCCTCCTGCCTGGGGAGCAGTAGCTTTACCCAGAGTCATCTCCCCAGACCCAAGTAATTGTTTTTTTTTTTTTTTAAATCATCAGACTTTTTCATGTGGTGTGTATGCACGTGCGCGTGCATGTGCGTGCGTGGGCAGGCATAATGGCTATCCAGGCGTGCTCATTCTCACGTAGCCATATGTGTAAGGCTCCGCCTGGCCTCATCCGTACCTGCTGCACCGCTCCTTTTTGCTCCTTGCCCCCCATCCCTACTCCCTACTGTATTTCCAGGAGTCCCTAAGATTCTTATCAACTTTTACATCCTTCCTACCAGAAACTTCCTCCTCAAGCTCCTTGGAGGAAATGAAGGAACTGATTGTTCCGAGTTTTCTCATGGCCTCCTGGTTTTCTCCGCTGGGAGAGATGACTCTGGAGGTGGAGCTGGCAGAGAAAACAAAGGAGAAAAAAAAAAAAAGAAGGGAAAAACAGGAGCTGTTTCCAATGAGGTAGTAGGCCATGACCCAACTAATTCCATGAAGCAATTGATCTACCACCTGCGTGCCCAGAACAGCCTGTGCTCTGCTTCTGCCTGCTCCCAAGGCCAGGTATTGTTTGAGAGGACGGATTTTCACGGTGCCTGAAAATTGAGCCCTTCCTGGCTTCCTGTCACCACTGTCTCCACCATCCGCCCAGCAAGACTTCAGACTGAATTCAAAATGCTCAGACACACAGCAAGCCCCAAGTTCTTCTCATGGGCCCACAGGAGGTAGTTCTAAAATGTCAGCCTTTTCAGTTTGCACAGAAATAAACTGAGGCCCCAGGAAGGAGAAGGCCAGGTTCATGGCCATCCAGAGACTTAGTGGCAAGGATGAGACTAGGGCCTGGTGATCTGATTCCCGGGTGAGCCCATCCCCCACTGTCTGTTAAGCCTGCTGCCAGCCTACAGAAGCAAGCAAAACACTTGCGAGGCGTGTTTGCTCACCTCTGAAAGGCTCTCCCATTTCCAGCCCGGCTCCTTTTGCAGAACTCTCAGTAATGAAATAGTGTTTGCTGAGGTGATGTCACCCATGAAAAGCTGGCTCCGCAGATCGACGGGCTTGGAAACTATTCTGTTAATTATCCTACCACTGGCCAGGCTTGAGAGCCGCCTTGTAGCCACCCAAATCCTCAGGGAACGGGTGCCAAAAGCCAGAGTACCTGCCGGGTACTGTACAGAGAACTGTAACTCTTTAGGTTAGCTGTGTTGTCAAGGCCTTTTCCACCCAATGGCAGCCCATGTGGAAACCCAGGCTACCAGACAGTCTCCAGATAGGTGCAGACCAGGGGAACTAGACACGGGACCCAGGGGCCTGTCCAGTTGCCTTCCTTTGATTCCTGACTGACCCATTCTGCTTTGGGCTGAACTGGCGTCTTCTTCTGCTTGCTGCGGTTTCATTGTCTCTGAGACTCTTTCGTTCCCATGGAAGAAACAGCCTCTTTCCGTAGCTTATCACGTTCGTTTCATAAATGAACTTCCTATTGGGGAATCTTATTCCCACACAGCAGATTTCTTTGATGGGGCTTTGCTCCCCCATGAATTTGGTTGTTCAGATACCTATGCATCCACCTGTTTTCCTCCTACCTAACTGTTCTTTATTTCCAATACAGTTGCCAGGCAGGAGAACGCTTCCCAGTCAATATCGGCTTGATTTCTCTGAGTCCCGTGGCCAAAGTGTGCGTTGTTTTCAGCAATAGGTAGAGCCATCGAGTTCTGGTGGCTGGCCAAGAGCAATGGCAAAAGCCAGCATTGTTTTGTGGTCTCTGGGATATCTCGCCTCACCCCTAGGACCCCCAGCCCAGGAGCTATCCCACATATGCAAAACCTGAACTTCTTTTTTTTTAAATATTTATTTATTTATTATATTATGTGTATAGCATTCCTTCCACATGTGCCTGCAAGCCAGAAGGGGGCACCAGGTCTCATTATAAATGGCTGTAAGCCACCATGTGGTTGCTGGGAATTGAACTCAAGACCTCTGGAAGAGCAGTCAGTGCTCTTAACCTCTGAGCCATCTCTCCAGCCCCAAAACCTGAACTTCTTAAACGGGACTGTTACCTTCCTCCGAGTGGGCTGAAACCATCTTTTCCTGCGTGCCTTCCCTTCACTCCCTCAGACTCTGCTGTGTCCCAGTCCCACCGGGTACATCTGTGCCTGGCGGCTTCCTGAGTCTGTGCTCTGTTGTGTTTCATGTTGTCCGTGCTTCACGTGGACACCACCTGAGCCAAGGGTCCTCTTATAGTTCCTCCCTCCACACTGATCCGGTTTCTTCCTTTTCCCCACTGTCTGTACCAATGCAATGGCCACATCACCCATAATGCATGACACTGTCTCTCTGGAGACACATTTGCCTCTTTGCAGTTCAGGGATTGTGTATTTTGCATCCATGCCTAGAAACAAACCAACCCTGATATTGTCTGCAGCAAGAACCAACCAGACACCTCACATTTGCCATCCCATTGCCAACCCAAATTATCTCCTCTTAAGGATTTGGAGCCGGCAATCTCCACATTGCTCTTGACCTGGTGGAGAGTCAGGCATATAGCAGCCTCCCAGGGGATTTTTTTTTTCAACGAGTGTTGCTTTCTCAGATTCATGATACCACCAGCTCCGTGGCATGTTGAGAGTCCCAAGGCCTTGAAATTCAGTGTGTTGAAAAGACTGTACAATAGCCGTGATCCCCAAGGAATATACGTCAGTAGCAACTGAGTTGTGTGCAAACCCAGGCCTGGGAGTCCAAAGCAGACTCACACATCTACCTCTGAAGAGCGCTATATGATCTAATGCAGATGACCCAAAGGCCCGTGAGCTCTGACATGTCACCACCCTATGGCTCCTGATAATAAAGTCAGACACCAGCCTTTCCCCCAGGAAGGACCTTCTGCCTACCGATTCTCCCAGACTCAACTTGCACTGTTTCTTCCCTTGTTCCTCCAAGTGTGCGGTTGCGGCCTGGCCCAGTCGGGTTTCTTCTTCAAGAACCAGGAGTACATCTGCACCCAGGACTACCAGCAGCTCTACGGTACCCGCTGTGATAGCTGCCGGGACTTCATCACGGGTGAGGTCATCTCCGCGCTGGGCCGCACCTACCACCCTAAGTGCTTCGTGTGCAGCTTGTGCAGGTGAGTACCCCAGGGGACCAGGGATACTGGGTAGGCCCCAGAGGAGAGGAAGACATGGCCTTCTCCAGGCAACTCAGGAGCATATAGGCCTTATATTAGGCCCTGGGTTTCTGGAAACTTGAGGATGGACTGCTCTGGTAGGGCCGCAGGTTTCAAAACGTCCGGCAGCTAGATCCCATCTTGTCCCATGTAGTCTGATGTAAAGCACTGGTTTGACCTATGATGACAGCAGGAAAAGGATCCAAACACCATGATCAGCAGCATTTCATTTCCCAAGAAAACCACCAAGGACCTTAGCCCTCAGAAATTAGTCTGGAAGCCAAGAAGCTATCTGGCTCAGGCTTCTACACCCTCATCCTCAGGCAGCACAAGGATGTCTGCCGATAGCCTTCCTCCATCCTCCCAACACTATCTCTGGCTGAAAGAATGACCCCAGTATCTGGCCTCATCTGTGTAAGCCTCAGTAGTGGAGGTCAAATCCACTGCAGCCTCGTTGGTTTTGTGAAGATGACAGACAGGGTGTGTGCAGACACCTGTGGCCGGTGACCGGCCTGCGCTGTGCCTGCTTTTCCCACTGTGACAGCCGTCCAACCGCTCTCAGGACGGCTCCTCCTCTGCCCACTTCCCTGCCAGACAGCTCAACCACGTGTTAATTTAGCAATGCGCACCAAGGCCCTGCCGCATGCCAAGCAACACATTAAGGAGATGGAAACAAAATGAAGGCAACCTCAGCCCTGCCCACAAATGTGTTAAAATTTAATGGCCATCTCTGATTAAGTCATAAGCAAAATATGATTTGAGTACATGTGTATTTTTATTTGGGAAAAGAAAGTATTGATTAATTATTTTCCCCTGTAAAATCATCATTGGTTAGTTGCCAAATAGAGTAACCAGTTAGAATTTCTGACTAATGGCTGTGTAAAAATAATAACAAATCAGAACAGTGAGGATATAATTACCCTAATTCCCACCCCAGATTTCCCTCCAAGTATCCCAAGTTGCTGATAAAAAAAAACAAGTGGGGCCACTTGCTAGGACCTAAACTCAGAGCGCACGCATGTGACAGGTACCCCACGCCACATAAGCAAAAGCAGCCACTCAACTTTGTTGGCGGTACTGGAGATCTGTGAGTCCTTTATCATTGGCTGGGCAGGCAGATGTATGAGCTTGAGACCCCCTGCCTGGAGAAACTGAACAAACACAGAGGAGGAGGCGGGAGTGGTGTGTGGAGAATGATAATCTTCTCATTAGGAAGAGTGTTTTAAGAACTGTCCATATAGCGAAAAGGAGGAATTGGCAACTTTGGGGCCCACGTGGTCTCTTGATACATAGAGATAGGACAAATACTTTGAGCAGTGGGGTTGCCTCTCCATTACAGCTGGGGAGCATGCGCTCACAGCCACAGTATAACTTACCGCTGTCACGTGATATAAATAGCCTAACGCATCATCCGGTTCTGGCCCCCTAGTTCCTGAGTGCTTTAGCCAGACTGTTGTTCTGAATGGCACTTGCCCTGCTGGATGCTTTAGAAAGCAAGCTACACATCTTAGAGAATACCCAAGCCCAGGCTTTGCCAGTCAGCAGTAGCCACAGGAACTTCAGGAAGGAGAAACCGACTCTCTTCCTCATTTCCTTGCAGGAAGCCTTTCCCGATTGGAGACAAGGTGACGTTCAGTGGTAAAGAGTGTGTCTGCCAGACGTGCTCCCAGTCCATGACCAGCAGTAAGCCCATCAAGATCCGCGGACCAAGCCGTGAGTCCTCCCCACAGGCACCTGTCTATGAGCGCTGTCCTCCCAAGGACTCTGTCCTGGAGGGAAGCAGGGGAGGGTCCCACCCTCCATGGATACTGAAGCATGACCCAGTTAACATACAGCCCAGACACAGGCTCCACAGCACAACTCAGGGAAGATGGGTTACTTAACTATATGTGGTGATGCCCGAGCCACCTGCCAGCTACTTGAGTAGCTCTTTTCCAGGACGAGCTGGGTTCCTGGTCCTATGTACCAAGGGCTCTGCACCACGGTTGATCAGGTGTTTTGTTACCAGTAGTTCTTAATTTTTAGAAGCTCCATTAAGCAGTTGCAGTTAAAGCTCATGAAAGAAGTCAGGAATGCCCTGGGAATAAACCCTACGGGCTGTGCTGGTGCCTCGCGGAGTATGACTCCAAGACCACTGTGTCAGCCTTGTGGATCATCAGCTTGTGAAAAGACAGATTTCTGGGCTCATCTTGAACCTGAGAGAATGGGATCTGGTGCTATCATTCTGCGTGAGCTTTGTGGGTGATTCCTCAGCTGTCCCTAAGGTTGAGAATAACATCTTGTCATGAGAAAGGCATCCACCATGCCCAAATAATGGTATATTTTATCAAGCCACAGATTTGAGGGGCAAGTATAGATTGAGAGTTGAGAGTGCGTCTTAGAGCAGTTCTATGCTACGCTGCACAGTCCATCCATTCAAGTGTGTGTGTAGTGGCCAGATGTTTACATCACTGTTCCTAGATGCCCTTAAAGAGCTGTGGGCTGCCTGCCTGTACCCGCAAGCACACACAGACCCAGCCCCCTGGTTCTCCTAAGCCACACTAGCTCCAGTGATCTTTCATGTTATATGACACCCTGGCTGGCCCCATCAAGAGAATCAATGAAAACCCATTAGCCTCCTATGCTGCATTACTGTGTGGGAACAGAGGCAGCCAGCCATGGCACCAGCACAGTCAGCATGCTGCAGATGCATCACACCAAGGAGGGTGAGCCAAGAAGCCTCCGCATCAGCAGCCTTCAGCTCCCAGGGGCTCCATTACAGTCTGCCTAGCCATAGTGGGCTGATGGGAGAGGCAAGGAATGGGCTCCCTCCCATGCCTGCCCTTCCTTTCAGTGGAGTCAGATCCTTTCCTGGGATGTGATGCTCAGGGCTCTTTCTCCAGTGTCCTTGATGATACTCAAGAACAATCTATTGCTCTGGCCAGGTTTTCTCTTGAGGTGGCTGAGTGTGCACTCAGGTAGCTTTCATAACTCTTTGAAATCACGTTCCCATGCCAAAAAGACTGAAGCTTGGGATACGGGCTGTGGCTCTGTGGCTTATCTTCTTTGGAGTCCAGAGGCCAGTGGACTCATGTGTGGAGTACAGAGGGAAGCAAGCTTGAGTTGTGAGGCTGCCAACCTTCTGCAGAAGACAAATGGTCTGGTAGCCTCCCTAAGACTTGATTTCCCCAGCTATGAAATAATAGTGGGCTGCTTTACCATCCTCGCAGGGTGTTGTGCAAAGTGCTGTGTTCCTGCACAGGGATCAAGCTAACATAACTGTTTAGATGCACCTTAGCATGACTACAAATCAGAGGGTTAATTAAAGGGGAAGATTCACCCTGAGTGTGGGCAGCAGCACCCTTTATGCTGGTGAATCCTTTAGGATGTCATCCTTTGAGATGACAAATGGCCCACCGTAACTAGGCTGAAACAACTCAAAACCACAAGCCAAAAGGACTCTTTTCTCCCTTAAATTGTTTTTCTCTGGTATTCGCTTACAGCAATGAGAAAAGCTGGCTTACTCCAAGGTTAATGTAGAAAACACATCAAAGGAGCATTGAGAATAAGATTCCTAGGTCCAGTGTCAATTCTCTCATGTGCATTGTGTGTTTCTGTGTGTATGCACTGTGTGTGCACTGGGGTCTCAGACAAGAAACAGGCTTTATCAACTGAGCGAACGTCTAATATGGGAACATTCTAGAAGAGATTTCTAACAAAGAGATCCTGAAATGTCTCCTCTATAATTTCGCAGATTGGGATAGTGAGAAAAATGAGGGAAAGTTAGGGAATAAAAAGAAAAAACAAGGGAGCACATGGGCAGCTTCCAGGGGAACCAAGGTCTTTGGCTTATCACAGAAATAAAGGCCTTCACCCATGGATCCACAGAGAAGATCTCCTTGAAGTATTTTCTCCCACGATAATCACTAACTGTGCTACAAATGCATGGAATCCCTGGACAGAGGGCACAGAGAATGTCTCCTGAGCACCCAAGGAATAGAGAGAACTAAAGCCAGATCCGAAAGATGGAGAAAAACAAACCAGGGGAAGGGAAATGGACAAAAAACATAGTCTTTTTCTCAAGCTATACGAGCGTGTGAAGTTTCATCTCTGCAGGGTGGATATGTTCTGGAAAAGCAAGAATAATGTTTACTCCGAGGAATATAGTCGTGAACTGTCAAGAGGGAAAAATCAAATTATCTTATAAAAAAAAAAACACCTCCTCATAGATCTCATAAAGAAGAATCGCTAGCAGGAGAAGCACCAAAATTCTCACCACCACCACCATCACCATCACGGTCATTGTCATCATTAGCACAGGTGCCATCACCAACAACTCCTCCATTACCACCATCATCACCACTGCTATTTCACCATCCCCACTTCCAGCCTTTATTCTAGTGCCAGGCCTTGTAATAAAGGAACCGTTAATATCTCATTTAGTCATTACACGTCCACGAAGGCAGTAAGAGTAATTGTTTTAAAAGTAAGAAAACAGAGACTTGAAGATCATAAATGGCTTTTCCGAAGGAGCACCAGTGTGAAGGAGCACCATGAGATCTGGCTCTGAGACTATTCCCTTAACATCCTCCAGCAAGAGTGTGTCTTTCTAAATGGAAAGCCCCCTGTGTTCCTAGACAGGTTGCCTAAAGCAGAATGAGCAACTCACGGTGACTCACGGATCCTGCTTACTTTTGCTGACCTAAATGGATGATGATGTAGGCAACCAAACTAAAAATGGCCGCATGGGATCTCTAGAGGCTTGGATACTAAAGTGAGAGATCTGAGAGGAACAGGTGGGGGCACTGTGCTTTCCACCAGGTGAAGGCTGTAATTTTGGAATAGAGAGGAGTGGGCAGCTGGCTCAGCAAAATCACCAAGGACAGGGAGTGACTCTCCCAACCCTGCTTATGGCACCAGACCCACGCCCCCCCCCCCAGAGGGGAGTAGACAAGACTAAAAGAAGAAAAAAGGAGAAAAAAAATCTCAAGAAACAGGAAGCCCTACAAGGGAAGACTAGCAGAGTAATAGAGAAAGAAAAACCACAAATAAAGGGCATCCAAGAATCCTGAAAAGGAAGATGCAGGGCTTCCCTTCAAAGGAGAATTACTCGGGCTTCAGATCAGAGATTGGTAACACACAAAGGATGTGGGTGAAAAACACAAGAACTAGAACAACCTGTTGCATGAGGCCTGCATTAGTTCTACTGACCTGGTCGTAGGGAAGACACTGTGAAGAGTAAGGCTGGAGAAGACTCTTGCCTGAGCTAGCTGCTCACCACCCCCTCCACCGGCTCTCAACCCAGCCTCCAGCCACTCCCCTCCACCAGCTCCTAATTGGATGTACCTTAGAGTGCTAAATTCATCTCAGGTGTGTCCCTGTCGCTCAGATGGTACTTTTACTGGAATGTGGCCATTTCTGCAAACAGACAATCGTCAAGGAAGTCTTATTGAAGAGTCAGAGAGTTTTATTAATGGCTAACACAATGTCTATCACATAGCGTTCCCAAGTGACTGTGGATGACCATAGCAAGTGAAACAGAAGCCTGAAGGGTGAGGGAGAGACAGACCATGTTTGCGTTTTGTTATTTGAAGGAACTGTCATGGAGGAGAAGAGAAGAGTGTTCCTGGATATATAAGTGACAGGGTCAAGCCCTAGCTCCACGGACGGGAGACATCCTTGACAGCCATACCTGCCCAAACTGACTCAAGAAGGGCTGAGTCTTTGGTGTGTAATAAAGTGTAAAATAAGCACCACCTGTCAAAGATAGATTCCTGCCCTGGTTGAGACACTGGACCAAGTGCTCTATGAACTTGGAACCCCTCTGTAATTGTTAGGTCCTCTTAAGGAGCCACAGAAACACAAGTGTCATATTTATGACCTAGAAAGTATGACCAGACACTGTCCGTCTGGACACAGAGGAGGCACCTGACCTACCAAAGCCAATGAATTTTTAAACCTGCAGTTTTATTAGAGGGGATAATTTTATTAACAAGGAGACTTAGGTACTGATTCTAGAAAAGTGAAAGGGAGCGGAGCTAAATCTCCAAGTGCCTTGTTCTCTAGCCTATCTGAAGGCTTAAAGCATTTTACAGTTGGGGACCGTCCACCCCCGCTTATGTTCAGGGATGTTGGGAATGGCGCTTGGCAGCCATGTGTTCAATGCGGTACAAATTGACTCTACACATGGGTCATCAAGTCCCAGACGCTCCCCACAACCTTCTAAACACACCAACCCTTCCTAGACACACCAGCTCCTCTTCAGGGCCAGATTAAGGACTGTCTGTCTAGCCAGGCTCCCCCATGTCTATATGTGGCTTCTCCTTGTATGCTCCAAAGTGTGTGTGTGTGTGTTGTGATGCCAATAAGGAGGTCTGACCTCTGGCAAACTTGCCCAGTGACCATTTTCCTCTCCTAAAATGAACCCTCTGATCAGCAAGACCTGAATTCCCAGGATTTCCCAATGACTTTGGATGCTGGCTCCACTTCCTGCCCCTCCCACCCCTCTTTACATTGACTGAACAATAGACAGACCAGACTACTGAACTCCATCCTACTTTCTCTTCCAGCTCTGGTTACAGGGTGACAGTGACAGAGAGCAAAAACATATTTCTGGTTTGGGACAGGCTTTTCAGACACTGATTGTTGCATGCTGGGTAAAGATGAGCATGGTAAATCCGCTCCTTTGCCTGAGCACCGTGAGATCCAGTCATTCATATTTTCTTCAGCAAATATCCTTTGAGTTTCCACTCTGTGCCTAGCACCAGGCTAGGCAAGAAAATAGCTTTAGCACAAAACACAAGTGTGGTCTTTCCCTAGTTATTTTTTTTTTCTTGCTGTGGTCAAATACTTGGCAAGTAACCATTTAATAAAGAAACATTTCTTTTGGTTCATGGCTCAGAGAATATAGCATCATGACCATCATGGCAGGGGAAACATGGCAGCGGGAGCAAGTCACCGCTGTGGCAGTGGGCATGCGCTCACACATCTCAGCAGACCAAACAGCAGAGAAAGAGAATGCAGGCGCTGGGACAGCGAACTTTCTCCTTTTCTCTTCTTTACCCAGTCTGGGATCCCAGCCCATAGGGTGGTATCAGTCACTCTCAGGGCAGCATCTCCCTCCCTCAATTCAAGCTCTGTAGAAATACCCTCACATCTAAATGTGGATCTCCATAGAATTCTAAATCCAGTCAAGTTGACCAAAAAGAGGGGGCACCACGTGGTCCTTACCTAAAGAGGAATGGAAAGATGCAGCCTGTCTCCAGAAACAGGGCTCTCAAATTCCACCATGCAGAGATCACGGTGAAATTAGATGGGGGCTGCAATGGAGCATGCGCCGGCTTCTCGGTGGTGCAAGTATGGCTGGCACTGGGGTGACCGCAGGGAGAACAAGCTTGGACGAATAGTGGTCATGATAGTGGTCGTGGTGAGCAGTGGGGGCGCTTGTTCCTTCCTCCTCATTCCGTGGTCCTTTCCCACAGGCCAGAACTCTGGCAACCCTTCCTCTTGTCTGGTAAGGTCTCTGGGTACTGGCAGCACCAGAGTGGGGGGAAAATGGCATCCGGGGCTGGGTTCCCATGGCATGGGATGATGGCAGAAAGTCGAAGGGACCCAAGATGTCCTACTTTTGTCTTTGCAGACTGTGCTGGGTGCAAAGAGGAGATTAAGCATGGCCAGTCACTCCTGGCCCTGGACAAGCAGTGGCATGTCAGCTGTTTCAAATGCCAGACCTGTAGTGTCATCCTCACTGGGGAGTACATTAGCAAGTGAGTATCGCTCCATCTCCCCCTCTCCCGCAGGCTACCTGGGCCTCTGCATCCTACAAGGCCTGGCCCACTGTCCTCTCCTGAATCTCCAGCATCACCCTTCATCACATCCATTGGAAGCCACAGAAGCCACATGGCCACACTCCTAGCCTCTTTCTACCTTAGGCCTTTCATGTTGTTTCCTCTCCCATGATGCACTGGTGGTCCTCACCTGTGGCTCCTTCCCTTCCTTCCATATGCCTCCAACTCAGAGGTGACTCCACTCCATCACTCCCCACCTCCGTTCCACCACTCCTACCCTCAGGCTGCCCAGTTTCCTACACAGGAATTATACATCTTCATGTGCATGCCTTAGATGGTTCACCATTGACTGAGCTTTCTCTATGCACAAAAAAACTAACAAATGGCTTTGGGTGGACTAGGACATTAAACCTCCAATGGGAGGAATGGTGCACACCTTTGATCCTAGCACTAAGTGGCAGAGTCAGGTGGATCTCTGTGAGTTCAAGGTCAGCCTAGTATACAGGACAGCCAGAGCTATAATGGAGATTCCCCCCATCTCAAAAATAAAAACAAACAAACAAAGCTCTCATGGTACAGATACTCAAAAGAGTAAGCAATGTGCACAGTGACAGTTCTACTCTCTGTCCCTCCCTGGTTGGGGACTTTGATATAGTTCCTGCTGATCCCCAGCATTTAACACAATGTCTGACCTGAAGTCGACACAGTTATTGCATGGGTTTAACAGAGATGGTCAAGAAATAAAATTATCAGGTAAGAGGACTCAGCTTCGGGGACTTAGACATAGCAACTTCAGACAAGCTCTCTTCAGGCTTCAGCACTGGTGATGACACAAAATATATTCAAATCCCCGAAGGCAACTGTGAGCAACAACCCTAGCACTTTGATACTTTCTGATCCCAGATACTTCCTCTCTTCCATGACTGACCCAAAGCCAGGCGATGTGAGCTTGCGTTTGCTGTGGAGACACATTCACCAAGGGAGACAAGCTGTGGACAGGAAGAATTGGGACACCAGGGGTCTGTGGGAAGAGCCTGTGGGTAATAAGTGTCAGTCATGAGTGACCAAAAGCCCCACACAACACATTGGAAAGCAACAATTGGATTCGTTTGACTCAGACATGGGAAGGTCTACTACAGGTGTATTAGCTTCTTAAAGATGTCTTCAGCACTACAGAGTCTCTCTCCTCCCCTACTCCCTTTCTCTCTCCATCCTTCCCTCCCTCCTCTGCTTTCCTCTCCATTAGATTTGTCCCCAGGTCAATGAAGTAGCAAAGAAAATCACCAACAGTGCCTGGGTTTTGATCATCAGTTCAGCAGGCCTAGGGAAAAGAGAGGCCTTTCTATAAAAACTGCCACAGAAGTCTGGTGACTCCCTCTGGGTTAGCTGCCTTACTTCACCGTTCCCTCTCAAACACTAACCAGGAGGGCAGAAGGGCCCAATCCCTAAGGCAGCCCTTTGTTGATGCTTAAAAAGCTGGATAAGAAAGAGTAGCCTCCAAAGGAAAAATCCAGAAAGAGGAAATAGCTGCTGGCCAGACATACCCACCTGTGCCCAAGGTGCAAAGGGGGGCTATCAATAGTCTAAGAAAGGAAGGGTCCCTTCTAACCAGCTGCAAGTGGCATCTGGAGTCTGAGCCTCGTGGACAGTTTGAGCTGGGCCTTGAAAGAGTGAGTAAGATTCGAAACACAGAGACAAGCTTGGAGACAAAATCCCAGCCCATCCAGGGCAGTAGGGTGGGCTGGGTTAAACACTTCCCTCCTCTTTGGGAACTCAAGTGTGTACACAGGCGAAGCAGAGTGCCAGGCTGCAGAGGTGAGCTGAGCAAGTCACTGAGAGCCCTCGATGCCATCTCAGTAGATGGCAGACATTCCTCTCTAAGCATGCTGGGTAAGGAATGTCTGTGGGAAGTCACCAGCCAAGAGTCATTGATTCTAAGTTAGAACTTTCTGGGGGCAGTGAGGGCTTGTGCCGAACTCTGGAGGCCCAGCCTAGACTGCCAGCCTCCCTGGGCGTTGGCAGTCTGGCTCTGGGCCCCTCACCTGCTGCAGCCAAGTGGTAGGAGAGCCATGAAACTATTACAGTTGCTCAAGGCAGAAATCCTTCTGCCTAGGGGACCTTGGCCAAGGACTCAGCAGCTCCGAGTCTTACTGTGCTCATTTGTGAAAACATGGTTAATAAGATGTTATGTTCCAAAGCTCTGTGTTCCATATCTAATAAGGACACAGTAAATGTGCTCTTGCCCATCTGCCTCTGTTTATAATCATGTAGATTTCCAATTCTCTAAGGCATCCCCAACCCAAGAATCTGAGTGAAGTTGTATCAGCATCTTTACCCAGATAGAGATTTTTTTTTTCTTTGCAGTTATCCATGCTTACATCCACAGAGTAAGAACGTGGTTAGAGGTCAGGGAAATTGAAAGAGTCAGGGAGGCTTCATGGCTCACGGACAACGGCTACTTTAACTTCAGGCAATGCTAACACCTCGCTCCCATGAAGAGCTCCAGGTGGAGACAGAGAAATCGCCTGCCTGTTCTTTAGGCCTATCTGAGTCTGAGCCATGTTACCCTACCCCCAAAAGTGGGCAACAGTCTCCTTGAGGACTCTCACAGCCACCATGGTGATTACTGCCTTTCCTGAGTAGACAGTGAGCCAGGCAGGCACTGACTGAACCCTAGCATATACTGGGCCCATCTCCATCAATCCTCATGAAAATGTGGGGAGAAACCAAACCACCTGAGTTTGAGCCTCAAGTGTAAACAGATCCTGGGTGACCTGAGGAAGTTACTTACCTATTCCACACGTGGGCTTGTTCATTCAACACACTGGAAAATGAATAGGACCAACTTCCCTGGGCTGCCATAGCCAGTAAATGACATGATCCATGTGCATCAATCACTATCAAAGCAAGAAATGCCAGCTATTAGCCGTAGAGAACAGCGTAACAGGCCATAGCAGGGCTGGTGAGAGCCTTTATCAATGGAGAAAAACACTTATCACAGGATGGGCACCTGAGTTCAATCCAAAAGCTGATTCCTGGAACTCATATGTAAAAGTGGAAAGAGAATAAACTCCACAGTTACACTCTGACATCCACATGCCTACACACACACACACACACACACACAGAGAGAGAGAGAGAGAGAGAGAGAGAGAGAGAGAGAGAGAATAATAAATAAATAATTCAAAAGAATAAGCCATGGCAATCTGACCTCTGTCTACTGAGTCCACGCACTTGATAGACACAGAGCATGAACACTACTTATGGGAGACTTTCTTGTGAAGCACTGGTCCATCAGGTCAACCAAGTGGTTCTCTCAGTTATGGATAAAATTTTTGGTTAAAGGAGAAACTCTTCTGGGTCTGTAAGAAATTGATCGCATTACTACACCGTAGAAGGGAAACCAGGATGGGCTAAAAGGAAAAGGGAGACATGTCCCTTATGCTTTGAGAATGCTGTACCATGTGCAAGCATTTTATTTCTACAAGAAATAAAGCATGTCTTGAATAATTTTTCAAAGAGTCCTTTGGGGAAAGAAAAGCAGGTGGGTCTGGATAACTCATGGGGGAGGGGAAGGGAAAAATAAAAGGCCACCCAAAACAACAGACCAGAGCAGTGGCTCCATCAGTGCCTAGGGACCTCACCCAATGCAGATTCCCATGGCTTTTCTTTCCCTGTAGATCTGAGAGGCAGTTTAATTTTGAAAAGCATTCCGAAGCTCCCAGTCTTGGCCCCTCACCGTAGACTGGGTCCTGACCGAGGACACCCTCCCCGCTCTACTCACTTCCCGTCAACTTCCTCTTATAGGGATGGTGTTCCGTATTGCGAGGCTGACTACCACTCCCAGTTCGGCATTAAATGTGAGACATGTGACCGGTACATCAGTGGCAGGGTCTTGGAGGTAAGTGAGGCTGAGTCGCCCCGTGTGAGCAGGATGACCTGTGACTTCAAAGAGTCATCACCGAAGAAGAGAAAGTCACCCCATGTCCTTCCCTCCAGTGCTTAAACCTCCCAGAGTTAGCTCACGGCATGGCCCTGACCAGATAGCCTTGCCAAGATCTGGGAACCCCCAAAATAGAATGTGGACAGGATAATTCTTGGTTCAAAAACCGCTGTGGTGGGGAAATCGGCTGCTTCTTTGGATTCAGACTCAGACAGATTTCTAAGGAGTACCAATTAGGATTTTCCTCCTGGCTCTACCTCGGGATGGAAGCCCTTTTTATGTTTTAACTGTTTGGTAATGTGCGCATTTAAGAACCAGCTTTGTCTAGCAGCTTGCTCTCTAAGCCCTTCTTTGGCTGGTCCATCACCATGGCAACAGCTCCCCCCCCCCCCCCCCCCCTCTCCCCCCCCCCCCCCCCCCCCCCCCCCCCCCCCCCCCCCCCCCCCCCCCCCGCCTCTGATGCACTGCTCTCTCTGCCAGTGACAGACAACCTACAGTCCCTTGCTGAGTCGTTGACCTTCCTATCCTTTCTTTCCACACCCTGTGGGGCTAGCTGCTACCTGCCCATATTTTGGGACCACCTACCTTGAAGGGTTCAGTGTAGAGGGAAAATAATGCCCTAAGGATAGGGACAATTGAGTTGTGGCATGTGTCTACTGCTAATTCGTCTCTGTAGGCCTCCACTTTGCATCTGATCGTGGCTAAGGAGTGGCAGGCTGGCTCAGCCACTCTAGGCAGAATTATTAGCACTGCCAGTTGCTTGCGGTTACCATGAGGACCAAGTTGAAAAGGATTCTACGGTCCCATGCGGGTCCAGCAGACAAGCACAGCAGTCGAGGCAGGGCTGTGTGAGAAGGTGCACTGAAGCAGAGCTCTGAGGACCAGAGGTCAGTGTAAGCAAAGCCAGCGGACAGGACAGGGAGAAAGACCAACATGGCCTTGAAAATAGAGGGTGGGAATACAGAACGTGTCACAGAGGGCCTATTTCCTGGGACTGTGTCCATCTTGTTTTATAGTAAGTGTAAGGGGAGAACCTTTGGAGAACGTTACAAAGGAGCGGTGTGATAAGATGGCCTGTTTTTGAAACCTGCACAGAATGTGATATGGAAAGTTAACTATAGGGAGTCGGAGAGAATCAGATAATCCAATGCAGTAAATTACTATATGACTCGGCATCTCTAAGGACTAGTGAAGAGGGCCAAGCAAAGGGAACGGAAGCGCACAGGGGTCGCTGGGCCCAGGAATCCAGGGGTGTGAGGTATAAGAATAAAGAGTCTATGGATGATTCGCTGGGCACTGGGGAGTTGTGGAGAGACTGAGCTGGAATGACCTGGTTAGAGCTGCACCTCAGAGAAGGTAGCATGGTGCTCACAGGAAACCGGAAGAGACGCCACCAGGGAGCCCCTGCGATCAAGGGTGACCACCTTTGTCTCCAGCTCCATGGAAGCTGAAATTCAGTAGCTCAGCCACTGTGGACAACTTGAGAATTTGGGGACTGAGGAAGAAGCCAAAGTTGTGTCAAAGTGTTGAGTCTGGGTGACGAGAACCTTAGTATGGCATCTGTGGAACCAGAGATGGAAAAGAAGCCAGGTAATCCAGGCAGAATCGTGGTGAGCATTTGAGATGGGATGTGACTGAAATCCCAGGAAGGTTTCAAGAGGACAGACAGGAAGGTAGATCAAAGTCCAGAAACAAAGCCTAAACCTGGAGAAGCCTAGCACTCAGGGTTGAATAATAGTATGAGAATAGTCAGACAGAGGAGAGAGATTGGCAGACTGGAAAAGGGCTACCACCAGCCTTGGGAAATGGCTGCCTGCGGGTGGCACAAAGACATGGAGTTGTTATCAGAAGAGAGACAATCAAGGAACTAGGAGGAGGGTTGGGGAGCTGGCTCAGTTGGTAAAGTGTTTGCCTTGGAAACACAAGGGCTTGAGATCTCCGGAACATGTATGGAAAAAGTCAGGAGCAGTGGTTCACACTCGCGGTCCCCATGCTGGGGAAGCAAGGACAGGCACATCCCTGGGCTTCACTGATCAGCCAGCCAAGCCTACTTGGCAAGTTTCAAGCCAGGGAGAGACTCTGTCTCCAAAATCAAGGTGAAGGGATTGGCGGGATGGCTCATAGAGGCTGTTCTTCCAGAGGATCCAGGTTTGATTCCCAATACCCAGATGGCAACTCACAACCATCTGTAACTCCAGTTCCAGGGGATCTGGTGCCTTCTGCTGGCCTGTGTGGGCACCAGGCATGAAAATGATACACAGATAGATATACATGAAGGCAAAGCAGTCATGCACATAAAATAAAAATATTTTAAAAGACTCTCCTCTGGCCTTCCCAAGCATGTGCATGCACATGAACCGACACACATATGTAGACCTGTGTGTGCTTGTGCACACAGGGTAAGAGAGGGAAACTGAGAACAGCGTAAAAGATGGAGCTTCAGGAAACATGGCGGATCAGTTGGACTCTTGGTCAAAATGTAGAGAAGTTAAGGGACGAAGGGGCTGGGAAAGGCTGGTGCGTGTGGTGAAATTTTGCCTTAAATAGTCATTGCTGACTGCTTCTGCATAACCGAGGCAGGAGCATTAGCAAGTTGTGGAGTCAGTGGGGGGAAGGCCACTAAAGCTGGATTCAAGAGAAGAATCTTGATGCACACTAGGCTGCAGCTGGCAAGGTTTTCTAGTGGCCGCCTTTTGTTTCCCAGTGTGGCGGTCTCTCCTTTCAAGGCAGCTGTGACTGGATTCCCACTGACCCCGTTCGTACTAGCTCCCTCAGCGTGTTACTGACTTTTTCCCCCATCCCTTTGCGCTGGAAAAGACATTTAGCAATCAGCTCTCCCAGCCTCCTTGTTTTACATATGAAAAAAAAAGGAGACCCAAGACTAGTGGTACCTTTCTAAGGTCAAAGGCAGAGATGGAGTCTGGGACTCCAGCCTCCTGGATCCCACAGTGATGCCTAAGGCTCTCAGATATCCAGGGGTCGGGAGAAAAAAAATCATGGATTCGAATTCTAATTTTACCATGTCTAGCCACGAAACCTTAAGCGCATCTTTGTCAATAGCGTAGACTGTCATTTCTTTCCTAATGAGTATGTTAAGCAGGACTTTGTTTAGTTGGAAGGCAGAAGCCAGTCTCAAATCAAGGGGACTGAAAAGGACATGTGTCCATTCCCATAATAAGAATGTGGGCATCATTCTGGCTTTAGGCTTAGCTGGAGAATGAGGCTGATTAAGATCCCTTGAATCTTTGACCATCTTGGCGCCACATTCTTCTGCATTGCCTTTATTCTGAAGAGGATTCTGCTTTGCGCTTGGGGTATTGGACACCAGTTGCTTAGGCTTATATCCTATCACATGGATATAGCAACATCCGGGGTGGTTAACAAAATGTTCTTTCTTAATGGTTCAGCAAACATCTGGGGGCTCTCTGGATAACTTCGGACCCTTCCCTGATCTCACTGTGCCCATAGAGTTGGAATCAGCTCATTGGTGGGGCTCACACAATATAACCATACGGCTTGATAGCGGGTGGTCCAGCTGACCCAAGCTTGGTGCTATTTCTGGAAGATGGGCAAGGATGCTGGCTAGGCAGTAACCGCCAGAACAGGGCCAGCATATTTCCAGGATACTGCAGACGCTTCAAACTGTTTCTTGTCTTCTCATCCCAACATTCCCATTCTCTTCTGAGGCCATCTCGTGACTCCTTCCTTCTCTGGGGACAGAACGGCTGAGTGTCAGTCCCATTCCTTCCTATGTCCTCAGCAAAAAGACCCACAGCCTGCTCTTGCTCCACTTCAGACCTCGACTGCCATGCTCAGTGCTCTCTGATATGGCCTCCTTAGGGGTACCAACTCTTTGCTGCTTTTCCTCACTGCCTTCTTGGCTTCAGTTTGTTAGTGTGTAAAATGACTCGTTGCATCTCTCTCTCTGCCTTTGTTCCCTTATGCTGGGCGAAGGCTGCCCTGGCAGCCTCCCTTCTACCCCATTGTTTTCTAAGCCATCCAGGACCAAGGCTGCTGAGACAGGCCTGAAGTCTTTTTTCAGCTGGGGCAGGGTGGCGGGTGTGACATTTAAGAAGATGTGCGTTCAGTATTGCGGAGCCACTGTTGCCATGATGGAGGGAAAAATCAGGGCCCAAAACAGGCCCTATAATTGAAATGATAAGGAGACACCGTAGGAAGAGGCTACTAATTACGCTGATTATCCTTGTCATGGTGCAGGGGGATCGGTCCCACGACTTCCGTGCTTGGGAAAATAGCAGGCTCTTCCTGAAGTTTGAACACAGCTTACTCAACAACAACGACCATTTTCTCACTGGTGGGAGCCACAGAAACAACCAAGAATGGAGAAAGGGGGCATTGAAAATTATTTTTTCCTTTGTAGGAATCTGCCCCTTTCAAGTTCTTGCTAAGTTTTGAGATAAAAGAGTTTCTCCTAAACAGACAAGCCCATCCCAAGAACCCCACCCCTAAGGTGGTTTGCAGATAAGATTTCTTTACGTGGTTGTGATTTTAGAACTAACATCAGACTAAGTGCTGGCTTAGAGAAGGGGGTTTCATGACCGCCCACAGTCATCCATTTACCTCGTCCCTCCCCTAAAAATACCTGTGCTGTTATGGGAAAAAAAAGAATTCATTCAAATCATGCTTCACTTTCCATCCAAGGCTCTGTGCTCCTCCTCCCATATGCAAATTCTAGATGTGTCACCAAAGGGCCCTTGTACCTCAGGTCTTCTGGAATGAGATTCTAGTAGCTAAGGCAGAAGTGAGATGGGGGTAGGGTCAGGGGTGACCTTGCTCCCTGTTTCCAGGGAGACCTAAAACACAACGTTCTCAAAAGCCATTTATCCCCCTCCTCCAAAAAAAGATTTGCACTCATTTCCATTTTTAAATGAAATATTGGTCGGGAAGGAAAGTGAGAAAAAGGAATGTGTTTACTAAATCCAGGTTAGATAGGCCAGGCTCAGGCTGAGAGATCCAGGTACAGCATTCTAACCTAGGCGTGAGGAGCGCCCCAGCGGATCCCGCTTCTCATGTAACATAATTTATGCGCTGAGCCCATTTAAAAAAAAAAAATCTGTCCTCCTTAAGCTGTGCTCATAATTTTTGCCATGTTTGTAAACCTTATACACTCAGCCTTACCTAATACTTTAATCTGTCTTTAAGTTGACTCACTTAACAGACAACTGGTACAACGTAACAGGAGAAACAGAGCTGTTTGCCAGTTGAAGGCAGCCCAAAATGAATATCGTTCTAGCCAGATTTTTCTTGTTTGTAAAGACTCTAAGCCTCATGCTTGTTCTCATTCTTACATGACTGTGTTTTAAATAATGCTACAGATGCATGGTACACTGGTACATTTGCCTTGGTGAAATCAGACCTCAAAAACAGGATTGGAAAGGATCTATCTATCGACCTATCCATCTCTCCTCCTTCCTTATTCCGAGACAATGTTATTGAGCCTCAAGTTCACATGGTAGTACTTACAATCATTGTCAATATCATTAGTGTCAAGGACCCCCATACTCAGGAACATGCTGGCAGTCCTCAAATCAACGCTTCCTCATGGGCAAGGAGGAGATGGGGAATAGTGTCCTCTGATTGCCCTGCCCATGTCTAGGAAAATCCCCTGAGCTTCCATCAAGACCCATGAAGAAACCACCAAGCTATCTGGGTAGACTCTCATATGGTTGTGGTTGCCCCCGGGCAGCCTCCCAACTGACCAACAGAGCCCTGGAGAGAGACACCAAACCCAACAATGTTCCCAAAAAGTGTTCACCCACCAGCCCCTACTGGACAGTGGCCTCAGTTCTGATGTTCTGCTCCGTATCCTGATTTCCACAGGCAGGAGGGAAGCACTACCACCCCACCTGTGCCAGATGTGTGCGCTGCCACCAGATGTTCACCGAAGGGGAGGAGATGTATCTCACAGGTAAGCAAATCTGGCCCTCGAAGGCGTTCTGGTAGGCTCGTGGCTGGAAAAGAGATCGCCTCCTTCCTCTTCAGTGTTATCGCTGCTGTTGGCTTGCCTTCAAGATTGCAATTAATTCTCTCCTCTCTGGGTGGATGAGGGAAGTTGCCGGAATGATTAATATGAGGTGACATGTAATCTGCCTTCCATCCCCGTGTGCCTCCACCGGCTGCTCCACTGGCCTGCTTCCCTGGCAATCCTCTGAGCAAATTCTTCTGGTTCCACGTGGGGGTGGGAGGTTGAGCTCGACAAGGCCAGGGGGTCAGAGGGGCAGGTGGGGGGGGGGGATTCCCAGGCTACTGAGTTCACACAGTTTCTACCTGACCTGTTCCATCCCGTTTCAACTCACCACATCTCAGAGTATCCTAGTAGGCCATTCCTCGGGGCTCCCAGGGTGAAAGGAACAGTGGCTTCCCCTCCTGGCTAGCCCTGGATTCCTGCTTCAGACACCCAGTTACCTTCAGATTCCACTCATCCCTCTGCCCTCGGTCCAGCCCCTGATCCCACTCCATCACAGTGCTCTTGGCTCTGCTCTTCTGAAAGACCTTCCCAGTCCCCTCCCACCCCACTGGTTTGACACATCACCTCAGCTTCTTATCTGAGTGAGGCCTTCTCACCAAGGCACCAAGCCTTGTATCTAGAACTTGAACAAAGCCACCGCCTATGCTGCCAAACCAACTTCACGTTAGCAATTGCTTCTGGGGCCCCTAACACGTGAAAGCTCCGTCTTGTCACAACACTACAGCCCAAGGCAGGAACTAGGTGTTACTCAATAATCCCACGAATGGCTGTCAACCATGATAAAGGATGTTAAGGCAAGCTATCATGCCAAGGAAGTTCCCCTGTGGAAGGGCCAAGAGCAGACCTCTTGGTGAGTGACTGGTACCTGGGGTGCTCATTTCTCTTTATATCACTGTTAGTAACGTGCCCAACAAGAACAACTTAAAGAGAGAAAAGATTTCTTTTCGCTCAAAGAATTTTCAGTCCATCACAACAAGGAAGGGTTCATGGCCATGGACTTTGTGGTGTAGGCTATTTATATCATGGTGAAGGAGGAAGCAGGGGGCAAGCAGGACCTGAACCAGGCTTCAGGCTCTGACTTTCAAAGGCCCACTTGTCGTGACCTACTTCTGCCAGCCAGGCCCCACCTCCTGAAGGTGCCTCGGCCTCCCACAGCACCCAGCTGAGAAACCAGCATTCCCAGTGTGAGCCCATGGTATAACATTTGAGATTCAAAACCTAACCGTTGATCCCGCGGTCTGTCAGGCTGCAAAGCAAACTAACATAGACGGTGGCTCATCCATGGCAGACGTGTGCTGCTCAGCGGTGTGGAGGCTGGCAAGTCCAAGATCAAAGCGCCCACGGATTTACCGTCTGGTGATGGCCTACTTTCATACGGGTGCTGCCTTCTTGCTGTATCCTGACATGGTGAAGGGGACAAGGTGGTCCCTGAGTCGTATGTCATAAGGGTATTGGAAATTGTGCTCTCACGATGCAGTCATTTCTCCAATGCCCCCCCCCATCCTCCTAATATTGTTACATGAGAAGATGCGTACAGCGGGGTCAGCGTTAGGGCTCAGAAGCAGGGAAAAGACGAACAATTCTTAGACAAGCCGGGAGGAACCAAGTACAAGCAAAGTACAAGAGGCTGTGGGGACTGAGAAAGGAAAAGATTAAATTATGAACGGCACTGAGAATATCGAGGGTGTTGGCTGAGTTACACCGAGATAATTCCTCGGTGTAAGAATTGTCTTGCACACTGTAGGGTATTTAGTAGCATCCCTGGTCCACACCCACAAGGTGCCAGGAATGTGCACTCTCCATTGTGACAACCAAAAGTGTCTCAGATACTGCCTAACATCCTAGGGGATAGGGAAGAGGATGAAATCATCCCCAGCTGAGACCTGCTGGCCCAGAGCTATTCAACAGAAACTGGGCACGTTGGGCAGGGACTCCCATGTGGGACTCAGTGAAGAGGCCATTTCAAACACTCTGGGACTCTAACTGCTTCCTTGAACATACCATCATTCGGGTGTTAGATGGGGGAGGATGCTGCTTTAAACTGGAAAACCACAGTCCTCATCGTATAGATAAGGATGGGGATACACCTAGAGAAAGGCAGAGACCTCTGTGAATCGGTGTGCAGGACGAAAAAGAACCTGGCCTGGGATTCCCTCCAGGCTGTCTCCACCTTCCTCCACAGGACTGAGATCTGGGCTGATATCCAGGTCTGGTCCCTGTGGCTCCCCATGAGCATCAACATCCTCCACGATCCTGAGTGATTCCTCCTTCAGGACCCTGTATTGCCAGTCTTAGCACACCAACCACCACTAGGATGTAAAGTTTGCACTTGGGTTGAATATCTGCTGTGCAGTGTTCCTTCCACCTTCTCAACCTCCCGGTGCTGAACCTGCCCTTGGATCTGCATTACCATCTGTGCACCACGGAGCAATCAGCATCTTTTTGCCTTCCTGCTTCAATTCTAAATCCTTCTCTTCCCCCACTTCGGTACTTTGACCTAGATTGCTTCAGACTCGGTCCTGGCACTATTGCTTACTAATTTGTTTGCCGTAGACAAACCTCTTGCCTCTCTGGACCTGTATGATAGACTTCAAGCTGTCCCTGTAAGATACAAGTGTAGTAAATTCCTGGAGCGACAGCTCTCTCTTTGTTCACATACCACCTGTATCTTCTGAGGCCTAGCATGTGTCCAGTAGTGCTCCAACAGCTGGTGGGGCAGGAAGGAGCAACAAAGACAAAGGCCCTGCCCTCAGGGAGTTCCCAGCCAGGAGTTAGGAACTTTACCCCCAACTTCCCAAGGATACTGAAGGAGTTAAACAATGGAGTCAAGTCAACAGCTCCGTGTTTGTGAAAGAAAATGCACCGTAGAACTTAAGGCAGAAATGCCTCCAGGAGGTGGGAGATATTCTTGGTCGTGAAGAAGAGCTGTCACCTTCTCAATAATTATCCCCATTCCTACCCTTCTGGCTCCTGGGAGAGTGGGAGTAATTGCAGGGTACGAGAGGACCTGCCTCGAGGGGTGCCGAGGGATCTGCCATGAGGGGGCTTGGGCCATGGGTGCTAGAGTCATAATGATGCTGGTTATGGGTGTCGTGTGTGGGTGGCAGCCATCAGGAGTTTCAGTTACCACTGGGAGCTGAGCCTAGAATACACTCACCGAGTAACAGCACCAGGACTCGAGAAATGGCAGTACAGGGGTGGGATGAGCCAGCGGAAAGGGAGCAGTCCTGAGTTCAAGGGTCAACACCCATCCGCTAATGGTGATGATCTTGAAGAATAACTCTCTCCTCTGGGTGTCTTTCCTCCCTTGTCAAGTGTGGCTGGTATCACTCTCTCATTGATCAGTTCCGATGAAGGTCACGCTACTCCAGGCTCTCTAGTGCGTGCCAAGCACTCTGCTTGGAGATGAGCAAGGCGGCGTGTTTGGTGCCCTGATGGAGTTTATTGCCAGATGGGAGAGACTGGCATTGATCAAACAGAAGCAACAATATCAAAACTCTCTCTGAGGAGGAAGTTTGGGGATAACGGGGAACATATCAGAAAATCAAGAGGACAGGGGAGGCTCCTCTGAAGAAAGGACATTTCAAGCCAGCATGAGCATGAGCATTAAGTAAAGGGGAGGGGCGACGAAGAGGAGAGGCAGTGAGGGCAGCAGGGGCGAAGTCCCCAGATGGAAGCGAGCGCCCCATGGTGGCGAACCATAGACAACATGGTACAGAACATGGAACAGACATGCGCCTCAGGAGCACTGGAGGACAGACCAAATGTGACGGTGCTGAGAGCCTTGGAGCAGGGTGTGGAGGTGGGCGGGACGAAGATACAGAATATTAGGGCCCACATTCTGGACTCTGTCTCGGGGTTCTGTAGCAGGGACAGGCTGGTTCTGGTAGATGATCCCCGGAGTGTCTTTGGTTCACTACTCTGTGTTTTAATCACCATGTGATAGCTTTCCAATGGGCTCTACTTGGGAGATGTCTGACATCTGGGGGAGACTTCTGGGCCCCCTGGAGACTACAGTGTGTTTCCTTTTCTTTGTTTTAAGCTCTGTTGCACATTCTGGTTTTCAGCTATTTCTATAAAGAGGCCAGACTTCTAATCTGTTTGTTATCCAAACCCTTCATTTGGGCTTCCCCAGGAAATTAGGTCACTGGTTGTAGTGCGGCAGAATAAAGCTGAAATGCTTCAGGTTCAGGGAAGAACCTACACTGAGGTCTCCAAGGCCAGAGCCGCTACAGATGGAGGCATTGCGCTGGGCTCTAAATGTGGTGCGCATGGTCTTCCTCCTAAATACACCTCCATCTGGGACAGCGGGTGTGGTCTTTATCTAGTTTTCTAGCTGCACCGCAGGCCTCTCCCCTCCCCATCGTGAAGATCTGAGGCAGCTGACACTGGAAAGCACAAGGCCAGCTCTTATCATTTGCATATTCAATGAATTCATTTTGAAATCCTGGGACAGACCCTACACTGCTAATGGAAGTACTGTAGCAAAGTATGCGTTCGCCAGTGTTAAACGTGAGGAACATGGCGATCATCGTAGGTCTGCTCACCGGTTGAGCATCTGTGCTGTCAAGTACGCACTGGGACTTCAGTGCCCTGCCCCATTCTGTCTGTTGACATGGAGATGTCAATACCAATCTGTGAAAAGGCAGAGTTTGAAGACAATGGGAATGTATTAAAAAGGCCTCTGACCTATTCTAACGAGGTGATCGAAAATCATTTACCTTGTAGTCATCCTCCCCCACCCCCAATCAAGGACTCAGGATTAGGGAATTTGCAACACTTGACCAGTCTGTCTATGAGGAACTAGTATGTCTAGTTCATCAAATCATTTTGCTTTATCTGTTACAAAAGCGCGTGCTCGTGTGTGTGTGTGTGTGTGTGTGTGTGTGTGTGTGTGTATGTGTGTGTGTGACTAGAAAACAGCCTCTAGTGACCTTCCT